AATTCATCAGCCAATCCATTGAACAAACTCATCATTGTGTTTTGTAGTACGTCGAACTCTTCGCCACGTCCCTCTTTGTGTGCGACAGAGCTATCCGGACTATCAGACGGTTTTGGGCTGCTCGTAGGACCAACTCTTTCTTCGAGCGAGGTCACTCGAAACAACAGTTCTGCGATTGGCAACCCATCCAGGCGGTTGCCCATTGCGTCGACTTGGACGACTTTCTCACTCAGTTCGGTCACCCGCGTTTCCAGGAAACGGAGGGTGTCAGGGACTTCTTTGAGGAACAGCATTTCCTCCTCTATTAGCGTAAGCCGGTCGGCTTGTGCTTTGGGTGTCGACTTTGTCGTCGACATGATCTCGGTCTGTATGACGTTACGGAGCTAACAAAGCTCTGATACCACTTGACACAATCGCGCTTTCGAAGGCAGCGGACTAGCGATTGTGCGGCACTCACTTTCTAGCGACAAGTGAGTTAAGCCTATTTGTTCTTGCGTCGCCTACGGCCAAGCGACGTACGGTCGAGCCTCTAGCCTCGGTTTTAAAAGAAGGTTTTAGAAAACGAGAAGAGAGAGAGATTTTAGAAAGAGAGATTTTAGAAAGAGACGTTATATAAGCAAGCAAGAGAAAGATAACAACGGCTTAGCATATATAACCTTGGGTAGGGAGAAGTTGACGACTAGTCATATCCCCCTATAGTACATTCTGGACCATTTTAGTTCTGGCAGGCGTAGACATGATATTTTTGAGGTGTCATACGCTATAGAATTACAAAAGGAAAAACACTAGAATGAAAAGACATGACAAGGGTTTGGCTTGTCATGGGCATGCGGCCATGGGCAACATGCCCTGGACAAGCATGACCGTGACACTTTGGTCGGCTGTCCCAACTTTGTTTTCAATTAATTTTGTTTTCAATTTAATTTTGAGACGCCAACGTTGAATCTTGAATAACAATTTATTATTATTATTATTATTTTATCACAAATGTTGGTCGGCTTCCCAATGTATCACAAATGTTGACCAACGTGGAGAAAGAATAACATTTTTTTTCTCTGTCAAAGCTCATTTTTATGTGCCTGCCAACCACCCACTTCAAAATTCAAATTTTCTTTCAATCATCATTTTATAATTTAAATTGAAATTACATTCTAACAAAATAAATTATAAATCAACTCTTATTTTAAAATGACATGATGCAAAATTCCAATTATTTGGTTAAAAAACCATATTAAGCATTAATTAAATGGCACACAAATATTATCAAATTTAGTCAATATTAGGGGGAAGAAGACAAGTTGTCTGTTACTAAATAAATTGTGTAGCGGTAATTTTGACCTTTTTCAAAAAAAAAAAAAAAAAAAAAATGGTGGAAATGGCAATAAGTTGGAGGACAAAGTCTGTGATTCTTGATTATTGTGTTATTGTAAAGTTTTCGAGTGGCAGAGGAGGGGGAAGCTCCGATCAACAGCTTTGGAACTTAAATTCAAATAATATAAACAAAAATAAAATGAGAAGACGCTTTAGAAATTGGATGGGTTGGGAGTTGGGGCGACAATAGGCTGAACAGCAGGTTTGTTGTTGGCGTGAAGACGTCCCTTGGAGTTGGCGGAGGAGTCGTCGGATTTGGGGGGGACGACGGAGACGATGTTGTCGGCGACGTCGGAGGAGGGCGGACGAGGGTAGAGGAAGTCGGTGGGGAAGAATTTGTACTGAAGACCTGCCATGGGAGAGAAAGAAGAAGAAGAAGGAGGAGGAGTTGCGTTTGTGGTTATGATGGGTTATTTATTTATACAGGAATTTTGTAGTGTGGTGTGTGGGAGTTTGCATTACAAATAACAAAGCTTGGGCCCCTTGGTTATTGACGTCCTGTAACTGTGGGCTGTTCAATGCTGGAAACGACTGTTGGGGCCGTTGGTCCGCGTTTGCTTAACAACCACGCCACATTCTCTGTGTACTTGTTGCTTCTGGAACACGCACCAAGCTTCGTTTTCTAAAGAATCTTTGTTAAAATTATGTCTTGTTCAAACATCATTCCGCAACTAATATTCATGGACATAAAAGTAGCTAAATAACACCAATTTTTGTTTTGTTTGTGGGGTTCATCTCCAATTTCTCTTACTAATCCAATTTTGTCTCGACTGGAGGCCACTTCTATAGGTCCCTACAACAGAGTTGCATATGTTTGTATTCCCTGACCCCAATAGTGAGGCTACCCAAATATCTAGATATTTGCTTTACATTATGGCTTATCATATTTGTCGTTTTATTAAAGGCAAATATATTGTATTCATTTATTATTCT